GTGAGTTTCGATTAATTCCATAAAGTGATTACGAAAAGTTGCTAATTTTGTACCAATTTCGTATGAGACAATGACAAATACAGTTGAGGAAGATATTTAGTAGATTAGCTCCCAAATCTTATATGCAAAGATGTAGGGCTGAAAATTTGTTTGTTCTGTCTCTAACTCGTCCCTCATCCTGTCTGACCCGTCTTTGAAAGGTCAAGATGTATAACTGATCCGTCCCATTCCTATCTCCTTCTTGATCCTATATGACTCTGAAGGGTTGGAACGGGTCGGAACGGGTCGGGTCAGTGGGTCGACCGTAATCAACACAGTACCTTTTATAAATTAAAATTTGGTACTCAAAATTATTTTTTCTTATAATTTAGTACCTAAATTTTATTTTTTTACAAATAAGTCCATAAATTTTGATGGTAAAATTATGTTTTGGTACCCAAAATTTTTACAAGTTAGTACACAAACTTTTAAAACTTTACAAAGAGGTCCAATGTGTATGAGATAGTTTTGTTGCTAAGGGTCACAGGGTCAAAAAGTGACTCATCTCTAAGTTGTCCCTACCCGTCACGACCCTTACAGGGTCAACAAATGACTCGTCCCTAATCTGATCCTGTAGACAAACTTACCTGTCACTACCCTCAAAAATGAAATGACTCGAAATAGAATCAGTAGGTGTTTCGGGTCAAGCTTAAAAAAGTTCCGCTAATGGTACAATCTCTTTCCTCTGTGAAAGTGCTATTCCGTGACTTGACTCTTCACTGATTAGGTCAAGAGATGGAGAGACGTTGCTAATTTTGTACAATTTACATACTATCAGACAAGGACAAATACAGTTGAGGAAGATATTTTAGTTGAGAAAACTTGATAAATACATACATGTCCAATGATTCTTTTTGTTTTCTCAGAGAAGAGCCCTTCGGTACCCTTTTTCCAATTGGACAGAAGTTCTGATTGGTCTTCTTATCAACATTTCATTGAAAAATATCTGACATTTTCGCTAGTAGTCACTTTAGACTAGAACTTTGATGTTTTCTTATTAAACATGGTTCTTAATTAAATATAATATTTTCCTTTTGGTTGAAATTTACTTAATTATTATAAATTTATAATTAACTAAATATGAACTAAGAAACCCAAATTGTTCCTCTAGCTAGCTCTTACTGAAATCAATTTAGTTTAAATCGTACTTTAAAGTCAAAGAACTTACGATTTTACACTTCTAAATTATCAAAACGCTTTGACTTTAAAGTTCATTAGCTAGCTACCTCCTCCAGTTTCATCCACCGATGATCCATTCCTTTTGCCCAAATTCAACCCATAATTTCCTGCTCCATAACTTTTTTGAGCTCAAGATCTAATTGCACATTTTAACTGCATTGGCTAGAATGACGATTACACCTCACATTTTAACTGCATTGGCTAAAAATTAAATTTCAACTTAAAACGAGTGAGAAATCGTCCGTCAAAGATTAATAAGGGAAAAATTAAAGGCTTTGGAGAAGAGAGAGGAATGCTGATGTGGACGGGTAAACTCATGGTTACTCACCATAAGGTTACTGACCTGATCCGTTCCCCCGACCTCCGACCCTATAAATTGGAAGCCTTCCATTCCCCATTCTTCACCATCACCACAACCAATTCCAACACAAGTTTTTCTTTCATACACCCAAAAAATATATTTAGCCCCACCGCCCTAAACCCAGCCAATCCAATCCAATGGCAGCTTCCTCCTCCTCCGCCATCTCGGCCGCTCTCCTCGCCGCCGTACTAACCATCTCACTACTCGCCTCCACGTCATCCGCCTCCAGCAGACCCCTCTCCGCCGCCGCCGCCGGCGCAACGACCAACACGGAGTTCATCCGCACGTCCTGCATCGCCACCACGTACCCTCAGCTATGCTACAACTCCCTTGCCGTCCACGCCACCAAAATCCAGACCAGCGCCAAGCTCATGGCCTCCACCGCCCTCGACGTCGCCCTAACCTCCGCCAAGTCAACCTCCGTCGCCATGGTCAAGCTCCAGCAGTCCCGCGGCCTCAGCCCCCGCGAGTACGTGGCGATGCGCGACTGCGTGGAGGTGCTGGGAGACTCCGTCGACCTCATCCGCCAGTCCATGGCCGAGATGGCGGCGAACAAAGGCGGCGCGGATTTCGGGATGATGATCAGCGACGTGCAGACGTGGGTCAGCGCCGCCTTGACCGACGAGAGCACGTGCACCGACGGGTTCGCCGAGAAGGCCGTGGCCGACGGGGAGATGAAGACGGCGGTGAGAGGGAAGATTGAGACGATTGGTCAGCTCACCAGCAACGCCCTGGCTCTCATCAACGCCTATGCTACTCTCCATCACTAGATTATTATATATATATTTTACATTTTATGTTAATTCGTTGTTTGATAATCGGTAGGTGTTATTGTGAAGTTTTAATTAGTAAGTGAAGTGTGTGAACTGTTAAAGACTGTTAATGAGTGATGTTAGTAACCTGTTATTTTGATTCAATACAAACCATTTTCCAATCGTTGTGAAAACCGTACTGGAAGCCATCTCATAAAAGTTAGTGATTAGATAATTTGTACTGAAATCCTTATTGAGCCGTAATTCAACTATTTGGTACCATAAAAACCGCCTGCTGTTTGAAACCCAACATCCGGTATTTTCGATACCAAATATAGTTTAGTGGATTATTACGTCAACTTCGAATTCTCGTAAGTTGTATCTAAACCACTATATAACTAAAATATCAAGGGAAATTAGCACTTTATTATAAATATTTCATATTTACGCATGGAAATCACCAAACTTTCTCAATACATTATTAGAGAGTGAGCTATGGATAGTTCACTTTATAATCGGATTGCAAACAAGACATACTCTGATTTATTGACACGAAGAATAAACACGATTGTTAGAGGTCGCAATCAAGTCATCATCCAAACAATTGATTTTGAGGACTCGCTTGATCGTTAAGATGACAGAGTGTATGACAAATTAGTATAATATTGTTCGTTTTTAGTCAAATTCATACGGATTTACTTTTTAATATCTTCTCAAAAGATCTCATACAAATGAAGTTTGGTGGACACTAACCTATAAAGATATTTTCTTTTGTATTTTCAATATAGTATTTGAATTGTACACTAACACCAAGAATTTCAACGGAATTTTGAAGAAGAGAAAACAATTGCATAACAAGAAGAAAGGCTCATAATAACATATAAACCCAGAAAGCACAAGCAACGTGGCCATAAACTGATTTCATGTCTTTTCATTTTCATTCAATTTATGATATAATCCAAATTTGCTGGAAGGTGGCAGATATTTCAGTATGTATCTAATTCGCTTCCTTCTTTCCACTTAATGCGATTGAATGTTGGTGGAAGTTGTCTGTTATTGTCAAAACCGAACCGGAGGTAGATCCGGATTAATAAGAGGTTCAAGGTTTATCGGATAATCGTTGATTAACTGGTATTAAAAATAAATCATTAATAGATGTTTGGCTCTAAATAAAAAGAAATAATAATAAAGCAAGAATAAAAAAAATAGCCAAACTGGAAAAAATAGTCAAAACCGGTAACATTTTGTTCTTCTCGTTGCTTTTGTTCCTTTTTTATTTATTTATTAACTAAAAGAATGCAAAAGGGTTGGGACCGGACTCGTGCCCGGGTCCAGTTTTTTCTGGTCTGATAGTCCGGTCTGGCCCGGTTTTCATAACATGGGTTACGATGGAAGCTGGACAACGTTGAAGATTGGTTCAAAGACTGCATTTTGCATTCGGTGTGGTGGCTAGTGTGGAAGGAAAGAAACAAAAGGGTTTTTGAAGACAAAGCTTCGACAGCGTATGCAGTAGCAAAAAGAGCAGCAAGAAATGTCATTGAATGGATTGTAGCTCATGGGCAAATCGAAAATACGCAGGGAAAGAGCTGGCTTCGTGAAGTGGTGGAGGGAAGCTGATTAGGGGAAATTTGCCTACGGATGGTTGCAGTGTTCGTTCTCTCGAGGTTTTCGTCCGCGTCCGAGGGCTCGTTAGTTCAGTTGACGAATCCGGCTATTTTGTGTATTTCTGGTCTTGAGACCTATAATGAGTTGCCTTGGAGGCAGTTTTACGGTGGGTTTTCTCGTTCTCTTTGGCCCTGTTCTTGGCCTCACTCTGAGATTTCTTTGTTCTGTTCTCATCGATGTGCCGAGCCGGAGCAGGGGTGGTCTGGTCCGCTTTCCTCCGAGCTGTTTTCTTTGTTTTTATTCAGTTCTTTTGGGTTCAATTCTGTTGATCCCTATCTTTGTACATTTTCAGCTTCCTTTTCGTTCCGTCGTGAAATATATTCTATCACCATTATAAAAAAAGGGGGGAAAGTAAGATTATTCACTAACATGATATTTGTTAGTTAATTTACGAACATGAAAAACTAATTTTACGGTATTTTTGGATATACAATTTACAGAGGTTAGGAGACATATATTTATATATATTCTACAGAGGAAGAATTCCCAGAATACAGTAAAAATTATACATAATTCCCAGAATACATAAGTTTTATAAAATTTTCCCAAACTACCCAAGTTTCAAAGGGTTCGAGTTTATAAGACTCGAACTACTTCCTAGATCGACGATGACAAACTCGAACAACATAGATCGATGGCAAAGAACTCGATCTCACTAGATCGATGAAGACAAACTCGATCCAGTAGATCGAGTACGGGCAACTCGATTTAGCTAGATCGACCCCTGAAACCTCGATGAATTGCAACGACTTTAACACACTCGATCTTTATCTGCACTAGATCGAGTCCCTATGACTCGAACTAGGTAAATCGATTCTGAAAGACTCGAACTACAGGCCCACCGACATGCTTCACGATAAGGTTGCAGGGATAAGATTCTTTGTTATCATAGATCGAGTTTTAAGGACTCGAACTAGGGTAGTTCGATTACACTAAACTCGAACTACTTGGTCAATAATTCTGTCCAGTCGCTTTCGGTCCGACATGTTTCAGAATAGGTTGCAGGGGGGAAATTATTGGATGGCGTAGATCGAGTTTAATAAACTCGAACTAGTGTAGATCGAGTGTATTAGACTCGAACCACTGCATCAGTTTACGAGGATAAAAAGCCCTCACTTAGCACATTCTGGCAGCTCTTTTACTTTCTATCTTCTTTCTTCCAAACACAATCTGCAGCAGCTGGAGCACCATAGCTCACCACCAAAGAAGAAAATTTTTGAAGGTAAGTTCTGCTTACGTTGTTTGAATGAGCGTATTAGAATTTTAGATTAATTTAGAATTGTTTGTACTGTATGTAATGAGCTGCTTCTTCTATAAACTGCAGAAATGGGTAGAAATTTTCGAAAATTCGACTTATTGATTCGGTGGAATGGTCGAATTACCCATTTTCATGATAGTATTGACTACGAAGATGGTGAATCAAGTACTGTCCCGATTAAGAGCATATTTACTTGGCAAGAACTCAGCCATATTTGTGCGGAACGATGCTGCATAGGAGGGAGAAGAGTATGCAAGATGACTTACCGTATGCCGGTTTACAAGGATTATGCACTTGTATATGAAGGATCAGTTTTGTCTGACGATGATGATGTTAATATGATGATGAGATTTATTGCAGAGAACAGATTTCCAACTGCTGAGGTGTATGTCGAGACAGAAGTTGTTGGCCAATATGGTGGGGGCGGTTATACCGAACAAGGTGAAGGATCGGGAGGTTTTTCCGGTTCAGGAGATTTCAGAGTGCGGCATGATGCACCATGGCCAACATACGAGGATCGAACTGCAACTGGTCCATTGGTGGAACATGACGGACAGGAGTGGCCAGTATGGGGTGGAGAATGGGATTACATAAGGGCACCCAGACAAGCATCTACAGCAGCATCTGGCATCAACAATGATCCATATGTGGATAAACCAAGTCCTCCGTACACTAGCGAGGCAAGCGACGTGGAAGACGAAGAGTTAGAATCAATGAGTAGTTCAGATGGTGAAGATCTGGAAGTTGACGAGGGGGAATTTGAGCCCCCCACACCTCACTACACGATGGTACCACAACATCCTCTCTATGCTCACAACGACGATCCTGACCTCCCTCCTATACCAATCTGGACTCCTGACTCTGGATTCGTGGTTGGCCAAACATTTGCAGGAAAGCCACAGGTGGTTGATGCATTGAAAGAAACTGCTATGCGAAGAAGCTTTCAATATCGTGTCATCACTTCTGACACTAAACAAATTCATGTTCGTTGCGAGAATCATGGCGACGGATGCATGTGGCATGTTCGGGGGGCATATGTTAAAAGAAATGGGGCTTGGCTCATTCGTAAGACAGACAACAACCACACTTGTAGGTCGTCACTGATTTCTCTAGATCACCGACAATTGAGTGCAAGGAAGGTTACACAAACAATCAAACATCTGATTGAGGCACAACCTGGGATCACCGTGAAGAGTGTCATCGCTGAAGTGAAGAATCGACATGGCTATACCATCAGTTACAAGAAAGCATGGCATGGGAAGCAAAAAGCTATGGCAGAGGTGTATGGTGATTGGAAAGAGTCATTTGCTAACATGCCTCGTTTGATTCTTGCAATGGAGGACAAGAATCCTGGGTCTGTTTTTGTGCCTAGTTACGAAGATTTCTATGGAGGTGCTAAACGCGTGTTTAAGAGACTATTTTGGGCATTCAAACCTTGCATTGATGGTTTCACCCATTGTCTGCCAATAATCCAAGTTGATGGCACCTTTCTGACCGGCAAATACAAGGGCACTCTACTCGTTGCCACTAGTGTTGATGGCAGTATGCAACTTTTCCCCCTTGCTTTTGCTATAGTCGAATCGGAGAACAACTTAAGTTGGGCATGGTTTTTTTCCCAACTATACACTCGTGTCACTCAACGGAAGGACATTGCCATACTTTCTGATCGACACCATGGAATTAGACATGCTTTCTACGACCTGCCCGAGGAGCTAGGGTGGAAGTGGCGATGGTGCATACGACATTTCAAAAGCAATTACGGGAAGCACTTTGGTAGAACTTATGGACAACGTGCAGTTTGGCACGCTGGTAAGAACAAATAAGATGTTGTGATTATATCAATTGGTTGAATGTGTATACTCCTTTACTAACCTTATTTTGCTTTATTGTAGCTATTGCTTTTCAGACTCGAAAGTTTGTAGACAAAATGAAGAGCATAAGGGAGGTCCACTCTGAAGATGCAGATTGGCTAGAAACTCATCCTTATGAGAGGTGGACGTTACATCAAGACGAAGGGTATAGGTATGGAATAACAACAACGAACATGGGTGAGTGCCTCAATGGTTTGTATGTTGGTCTTCGTGCAATGCCTATCTCATCTATAGTCTTGCATACCTTCTTTCGTACGGTGATCCCTCTCCGAATTCCCTTCTGGCGGGAGGTAATCCATACTCGTATGGGTGGGGAAGTGCAACATCTTCTCGTACATGCACAGGGACGTTAACTGGCTCTTGCCGACGTTTACTCCTCCTTGGTGGTGATGGCGGGAGAGATTCAATTTCAATGGCGTGGGAGGAAGGACGTGGCGGTGCAGGAGCAGGAGGATATGCAATGACATCCCTTCGGATTTCCCGCGAACATGACAAGAGATTCTTGAAGAGCTTCTTCAAGAATGAAATTTTCTCCCCTGGCACAGCATCTTCTGGTTCATTCTCCAACGTCATTGATGCAAGTTCCAACCCATCAACCTAAATAATAAACATGTTAGTAAACACTATTTGTGTAGCTAAAGTGATTATAGTAAATAGATATTGTGCTTACCAATGAATCGATCACGGCGCCACGTTTGGTTACCCATCTTTTTGTGAACTTGCGGTACCAAACCATGTATTCATCTTGGTACCCCATTGGCCTCGTCATTGGCTCCCCATCAATTGCATACGTCTGACGAGACTCCCACATTTCGATCCATCTATGGTGCTTGGTTGGCCAATCACTTATTGCACCCCGCAGATCCTTGCTGTACTTGTGGAGTGACTTATGTACGTCCGGGAGTGGGAGAGGAATCGGTTGCGCCCAATTATATTGTCGAACACATCTATCCGGGAGGTGCCACTCGACAATGTTGTGGCAAATCACAGGCAACTTGCACGACCAGAGTCGGCGATCCTCAGGGTATCGCAACTCGTACAAATCCTTTGCTCCGTTCGGATACGGATCCCACTCCACCTAAGTTTCAACACAACAAATAAATTAAAATCGAAGCAAATAATTTCAACAAATAAAATAGGATTCATAATCATAAAAATAAATAATGGGCTAAGACAAATAATTTCAACAAATAAAATAGAATTCATAATCATAAAAATAAATAATGGGCTAAGACAAATAATTTCAACAAATAAAATAGAATTCGTAATCATAAAAATAAATCATAGGCTAAGACTAAGACAAATAACTTCAACAAATAAATTAGAAAGAAATAATCATAAGCTAGAATGTTACCTCGTTGAATTCTAGACGGTCAAGATGTTGGCGGTACCCGTCTAGAGAGATGCCACTCGTGATAGCTCCAATCCATCTAGCACCATAAGCCCATTGTCGTAGTGGCTCATCGGGACCCCAACTGTTGGCAGGGCAGATCGGAGCGAAAGTAGGAAGGTGCTCCCAAACCCATAGTTGGAGGATGAACATGGGACCACCCGCTTGCTTTGTTTTCGGATCCGTACACTTGCACAACTCCGAATATATCATGGCCAAACAAGCAGATCCCCAACTTTTTCTCCCAATCTCGTCCCAATCTCCCAAAAGAACTCGAAGCCACATACAATGCATATTTCCACCAGACTTGTTCGGAAACAAAAATCCTCCAACCAAACAAATAAGGTAAATGCGAGCATACCTCTCTATCTGAGCATCCGTGGCATCCTCCGGTAATTCCCCAACGGTCCTCACTAGCCAAGGTATCAATAACATAGACTTGTGTAGAGGTGGTACACGACGACCTTCTTCTGCTTCCTCGGGGATGTTGATACCTAAACGCTCGCTTATAAATTGGCCCCAACCATTCAATGGTTTCTGTGAACTTTCAATTATTGCATCACCATCGATTGGAAGCTCTGTCAGCATGGCTACGTCCTTCAACGTAATCGTCATCTCTCCCTCTAGAAGGTGGAATGTGTGCGTTTCTTTTCTCCATCTTTCCACCATTGCCGTAAGAAGGTTGTTGTCCATCTCCATCCCCACAAACTTTCGCACCCTCAGCAATCGCGCTCTTTCAATGAAGGGCTCGATACGATCATCCCATTTAGGCAAGCGAGATAGCGACCGATGGGTGATTACGTCAAGTTGTTCCTGTAGAAAAAAAAAATATCAATTATTATACAAAAAAAAAGTTAGAAGAATACTATCACATTTAAAAAAAGAAAAGTAAATGAGGAAGTGCTTACCGGATCTGCCGCCCAAACACTTTCAGACCGATGGTAAGGTTGCTCATCCAACAAATCGGTTTCTCGCGGTCCGCCTTGAATGTATAATCTAGGATCGTAAATACTCGGATCCATCTCGGTAATTTTGAGTGATAGAAGTACCAAACTAAAGAAAAAAAATCTGATGCGGAAGATCGGGCTTAGCCGCAACCACAGAGCATATTTTTTCTTCAAGAGTGGTGGGAGGAATAGAGGAAGAAGAATGGAGTGGTGTGGGATTTGGTGGAATGAGAGGGGGTATTTATAGGTGCAGATGGTTGAGGTGGATCGAGTTTAGAAGACTCGAACCACTGCATTGATTTTTCCGCCAACGATCCGCGTCAAAAACAGTTCGAGTGCAGGCAAATCGAACGACTAGATCGAGTCTGGCAAACTCGATCTACGGTGGAGCGGGTCTGACGTCATCGATCCGCGTCAAGTAGATCGATTTGTGAGAGCTCGGTCCACGTGCATCGACTTTTCTCCACTCGATCCGCGTCAAAAGTAAATCGCGGACTTTGCCATCGAACAGTGGAGTTCGATTCCCCTTAACTCGATCAGGGTGGAGCGCTGCTTATGTCAGCGATCCATGTCAATCAGGTCGAGGGTCCTGTAATCGATCCACGTAGATCGAGTTTTCTGCACTCGATCCGAGCCGTCCCGTTCCAGCCAATCGCTGCTGTTTCACTCGATGCACGTGGATCGATCCCCTGGCAATCGATCTGCTTCCTAGTTCGAGTTTGTTAAACTCGAACCGGTTCAAACTTTGGTATTTTGGGAAATTTTTATAAAAGTGATGTATTGTGGAAATTACTTTTAATTTTCACTGTATTTAGGGAAATAATCCTTCTACAGATGACCTAACACCAATCTAAACTTGAAATGAAAATATTACCAAATGAGACCCAAAACACGTAAAAGTACATGTGTGCTGTGACTTCTAGTCTGACGATATATGATCTAATTTCAAATCATAGCAATGTTGTCAATTGTATTATTTGAAACTAGCTACTTATGATCTGGGCCTACTGATGATCCAATCAATAGTACCTTTGGGCCAGGATCCAATCACCTTTCACGTAAGCCTTGGGCCCACCATATTTTTGTTTCGTCTTTCCGACTAATTTCAGATATTTGTTGAGCTAGCTAAGCTATGCTAGCTAGCCGATCCAAAACGGAACATATTTTTCGGGTACGAATCGGGGAAAAATTTCATGTATGAACTGAAACAAAGCATCCTGAACTGCTGTAGTCTGTAGAGATGGTGGCGAGTGAAGGAATGAAAAGGAAACAACGGCAGGGTCGACCTGATGCATGTGCATTGGATGAATTATTAGTGTACAATATATAACAATAATGCATGATTCCCTACAAATGGGCCACCAATTATTCGTTCCATAATTTGTTTGCTTATAATTATTAAGACTATATATGAAAGTAGCTCGCTGCTCGCCCATCGATACGGCGATAACGTTGTGTGGATTGCTCAATAACGCAGCGACACACGTTTCTTGGAGTAGTATGAAACAACGTGTGGTTTAATGGTCATCCTCTTATCTCCTGAGTTGGGTTCAAGTTTGCTTGGTGTAGAAGAAAGAACTATTGTGGTTTCTTGTTAACCCCCCACCCCCCGCCCGCGCAAGTTGGAGGTTACAGATTTAGTACCCCAAGCTTGGAGAGTAAGGAATCAAATGGAGCATGAGGTAAAGGCTTGGCAAAAATGTCGGCAAACTAATTGTCAGATGGAACATGAAGTACTTTGATAATGCTAGTAAGTAGCTTGTCTCGAACCATATGACAATTCGATTCGATGTGTTTGGTTCTTTCATGAAAAGTGGGATTTCCTGCAATTTAAATGACAGATTGATCGATAGAAACTCACAGGTTGTGGATGAGGAACCTGGAAATCTTGGAGAAGGAAAAGGAGCCAATGTACTTAACAAGTTGTGTAGGCTAGGGCACGATATTCAACTTCACATGAGGACCTGGAAATAGCGATTTGCTTCTTGGATTTCCAGGAAATGAGAGAGCTTCCTAGGAACACACAGTAACCTATGATGGACCGCCATCTAGTGCCTGGACATACACCCCTATCGGAATAACTTCGTTGGGATAAACGATCCACTTCAAGGCCAAGAAAAAACTTGAGAATGTCCAAGTCTTTGTTGCTGAAGGCATCGTGAAGGAATGTCTCGATTCAAGTGATTTAAGTTAAATCATTCTCACCAACAATTAATTCATCAACTTAAATTAGAATGGCAGTGTAGGAGGAAGCAATTACTCTTGTAAACAAGGAATAATTTTGCTTGTATCCCTCTTGAGTGAGACTTTCAGACAATTTGAAATACTAGTATCGAGAAGCTTGTTTCAGACCATATAAGAATTTGTGAAGCTTGCATGACAGGGTTGGGAATGTTGGGAGGTGGGGAAACACCTGGTGGGAGAGACATATAGACCTCTTCGCGGTGCTAATAACTTGATCACTCTTTAGTAGTTTCACTTATGCCAATCACCAATGGCGAAGCAAACATTTACTATAAGGGACTAAAAATTAAAAAATAGCAACACATTTTCCGTATTAAACCGAAATAGTGAAGGATCGAAATAATTATAGCCTCCATCCCATCATCACTTTCTAATATGTCGTCTCAACAGATAATGCACATATTAAAAACTTAGATAAACAGCAACGGAAATATAACTCCATGTGAATTCCACTATTATCATACTATATCAAGAACTCGGATTAGTACATAAACATTTTGCATTTTACATATTGAAATTAAATTGAAGATGTTATTTGAAT